ACGCGTGTTAATACTATTCTATTTTTTTTCGTAGCAGTTTTGCAGAACTCAGGGCTCAAGGGCTCAAGGTAAGCAGAACTTGAATACTGAACCTTGAGCTATAGCGGCTGGCAACCGTGCTGACTGGCTTCACCTACTGCACGGTGTGATCGTGTACTTTGGCGAAGGCCATGCTGAGTACATGCCAAGTGATTTCCGGGCTGCAGATGTTGGGCAGACTTGGGAAGCAGTGTATGCTGCTGTTAGCCAGTGTCATTGCAAAAGCTCAGAGTGGCACTTCTTTGGACCGGGCAGAGATGACCTGCGGTGAAGATCAAGAAAAGCCTGTTGAGGACAATGCCTTTGTGGTTCTGCGCGGCTTCAACAGACCAGCCAAAGCCGATAGACAACGACAAGAGGATGTGAAGGACTACCAGCCATGTCTGGGGTTCATGGACGGGCGAAAGTGCATGGATGGTTGGAGGGCAGATGGAGCCACTTCAAACCTATTTGTGTCAGTGTGCGAGATGCCGGCAAGGGACAAAGATGCTGCGGTGCCATCGGGCAGCTGCCAAGTTCTCATGTGTGAGCCGAAGTTGCGCTATGTGACTTTCATACCACACCACACAACCATTTTCCTTCAACGAGCTGGCAGGGTACTAAAGAATGTCAGGGATTGCCTCTTCGTACCCAGTAGGAACACCCGGCATTTTGTGAGCGGCTTGTTTTGTGAACCGGCTTTGATTATGCAGCGCAGGTTGGCGTTTTCATTTCAAACATGCAAGAAGAATCACCGTCATGCCCGGCAAGCGGATGCAAGGTGTGTTGTTGTACAGTTGCAGCACGGCCTTGTTTTTGTTCCCCGGTATTGTTTTTGACCATCTCTTTGAGAAGCCAATGTCACAGAGTCAAAATTTGTTGACTTCTCTTGCTGTGTTGGACAGGCCATAAGAGGCTTTTGTCAGCAACCAGCTTTTGCCCTGAGATCCACTCGCATCGACGCTGGACAGCGCCACTTTTCATCAGCGTCAACATAGGAAGCGAGGTGTGATTAATCAGGGATGACTGCATGTAATTACGGAATTCATTTTGCGAGGCGCTGAACCTTAGCGGACCTGTGCGCTAAAGAAGAAGAAGAAGAAGCAGTTTTGCTTTGCGTGTTTTTCTTTTCTGTTAAAAGTCACGTCCAAACCAACATCATGTTGCAAAGCGTGTGTGCATGTGACGTCATTAGCCCCCCCTACCCAACCCCACCCCTCAACGGAACATATCAAACATCAACCCGCATGCATACCTGCTAATCTCGTCCAAACCGAGAAACCGCATCTTTCTCTGGGGTCGCAAACAACCTCGTTGGGCAAAACCAAAAACACATCCTGCATGCTAAACCGAAGGACGCATTGGCAAAAATAACAAAGAACACACCAACAATATGACATTAACATGACTAACGACAAATGGGAAACCCTAATGACAACAAAACACCAAACAATGAGAAAACATCATCAATCTGCTCCAGACCCTGCTGAACAGTAAATCTTAAAGCATCGTTCAGCAATCCTTTTTCTGCGTGTGCAACCACTTGACTAAGATGATGTGGATGCTTCATACAGACTTCACAACGGTTCCCTTGGGTTGACCAAACTTGCAAGATCGCATTCCTTTGTGTGAAGCCTATCTGGATGTGAATCCCTTAAGAGTGGACCGGATATGGAAGACACTTAAAGAAGACAAATTGGATTGTTTTTTTCGACCTCAGGCCGACTCCTCGGGCCTCCGTCGCAACCTCTCCCCACAAGGGCTGCTGCAGCAACGTTCCCAGGAGTGTGGTAGTGGTCCACCTCTGCTCATTGCTGTCATAGCCGCTTTCAAGGATTGTGAGAGGGGGTCGCTGGGGGGCAACATTTGCAACAACGATCTCAGGACTAAATCTAGGATCCTAAAAGCAAAAAACAAAAGCCAATGATTTGGACACTGTGCCCACTCCAAAAACAATCAAACATGATTTGAACACTATGTTTGTCCTAGAAGGGTTTGGAATAGACTAGTTTGGATAACATTTTTTTGGTGTGTTTGGTTGGGGGCTTATATATGTTGGGGCTAGTTTGGAAAGCATTGTTTTGTTTTTGTACTTTTTTGTTTTTTTGGGTGTGTTTGTTCTAATTTTTGTTTGGGGGGAGTCTACAAACACAGCACAGCACAGCACATGTATGTAAACAATGCCTTTTGACTTCATAAAATCTCTAAGTACCCCCCGAACCCACCCCCTCACCAAAATGGTCGCCAAATAAGAACTAGTCGCTGGTAGGCTACAGAGAGCCTGTTGGCAGATGCTGTTCGCTGCTGATCGGGACTGGTAAAATAGCCTCTAAGGACAAGACCTGCCAAGTACGCATGGGTCAAAAAAGGACTAGTACGCATGTGCCCGCTATTAGCCAAATAGGGCCTAATAGTGTTTCTGTCCGCCGCGCTCTGTCCGCACAGGGTTAGCGCAAGACAACAGGGTACGACATCAGTAAACGGAGATCTCCTTACCGTTGCTCGACAAAATAATGACATCAAAAATGACCAAACGCACGGACGGACGGAGATAGGTATTGTTCCACATTTATTTTGGAGATGCTGCGAAGACATGTGTTTCCTGGACCTCCAGTGGTTTCGGTGAGCACATTGGACGACGAATTTGACATACAGTGTCACTCGCAAACCCTTCAGAATCTGTTCAAGACCTCGTCTACGAAGAAGATCCTTGAACGGATGGAAAACACCTGGCTAAATTACTCCATCAATAAGGGCGCTATGCTCAAGCTGGATACATTGCTAATAGCTATTAGTTGTGTGCAAAAAGTTGAAATTGAATTGGTGGCATTTGCGCTCAGCTTAAAGATAAAACACTGAGCAAACGAACGAGTGGCACCGCAAGATCTGGGGAGAGATTCCGAAGGATTGAAACCAATCATCTGCACTCGCTCAAAAGTGCAATCTTATTCGGTCTTTTCATCGGTGTTCAAAAGCAAACACACTTTATTTACTATTTGGTTGGTTTAGATGGTGGAACTAGGTACATCCAATCTTGCAGCAAAAGCATATGCAACCAATGGAGTTGTCGAGGGAGGTGTTGGAAGCAGTGGTGACGGTGTGGATTGCATTCAATTAACTGCTGATGACAGAGTAACATTAGATTAGCACACAAATCTGATCTAAGTTTGACTGCTCTTGATGGTGTTGATTAGGCAATGGTAGACAAGCAAATACATTAGCGCTCGGTGAGCTAAACTATTTGGCCAATAGAAAGCACGGAATTAAAACTTTACGGTTGTTTTGATGATTATTGGCACCTTATTTTAGAGAACCCCTTGATAGAGAGTACATTCCCAAAGACAGAATTATGTAACACAAGGCAACGCAATACGGCCATGTGGCTTAGAACCAGCTAAATGGTTTCCTAAAGGAAAACAGACCGAGTCACTGCACATGTACTTTGTGCGTATGCGAAAGAAGAAGATCGAACGGATATGGCCATGGACGTCTAGTCTAAATTCGATAAGTCTGTCAGGTTGCAAAACAGAGTGAACCAGCCGCCTGGGAAGCAGTCAGCTGGAAAGTCAGGTGCACAGCATTGCTCAAAGGTGTAGCCATCCTGACGTTGACTTGGACTTCAAACGGGTCCAGAACAGCCCGCGTTTGAGCACGGCATCGATGGGACGGAAGGCTCGGTCCGAGTGCTCCCAAGGCTCGGTCCAGCAGCTTGGATTCTCTAATCGGGCGCGGGCCATGGCAGCGAAGCATGGACACGAGGACGAGTTGATATTCGGTTGGTCTAACGAACTTCCCATTTCGATCGCTAGCATCCGCGTAAGTGACATGAGTGAACTGAACGCACTTTGAACTTTCGTTTTGTAAATGCAGCGCGGGATGCCAGAAGTGATCCGTATATTCAATCTCAACTAACATCTCTATATCATCTATCGAGGACAGTACACATATGATGCGGCATAATGCAGCATAGAAATTCATTTGCTTGGGAAAAACCTTGCAATTTCAACAGTTTCGACTCTGCAACAGATTTTGGATCATGGAATCTGACAAACCACATCTTTTAGATCAGAAACTGCATACACAAAGCAATCCGATGAGGGACACTTTCTTCTTACCTGCTTTTTGAATAGATTGAGGCGCTGGCAATGCAGCGCCGTACAGCAGGACCTCAGGCACGTTGAACGGCCTGCTACAGACTGCATTGTGAGGCTGTTTGAATCGATTGCCCCTTTAGCAACACATTTGGCAGCCATGCTTTGACAGAACCTCCAAGACACCGGGTGGAAGGGACCTCTTTGACAGTCATGTCACCGTATACCATCGGACTGGTGGACCTTGACTGGTGCTCGGCCGTAACAAGTTGGACTCTCACCGTGTGAGGCAAAACCTGCCAAAGGATGGCTATTTCTTTTTTAAAAATCATTTGAAGAACCTCTCATTCCTCACTTGGCAAATCGCATCATTCGTGTCTGCTTCGTGGCCCGCAAGGAGCAAAACAGGCTGTGGTGGACGGTCAGGACAACTCCCAAATGAACAAAACGGATAGCAAAAAATGATGCCAACACATTGATCGGACTCCTTGCAGCCTTTTTCGATATGACCCGATCGGAATGTGTGAGACAAGCTGTTTGGACGTGAAGCCATGGCCGTAGTCCATCTCCGAAACCCAAATGCTTGGCCCTCATCTGCCCCGACTGAGGACAGCAAGTGGAAGAAAACTGAACCTTTCCTAGTGGACAACCCTTCGGTCTTGTCCACAAATACAATTTGTATACTTGATCTTACTTGCAACAACTTGCTTCGCCACATGAGGCGGAGTTGTGGATCCCCTTACGGCATCTTCGAAAAACCCTCTGCCTCCCGTGAAAATCTTTTCGTGGTGCTGTGGCTTCTGAAACGGCAAACAGCAAAAAGCCTCTTTTGCTTCACGCAGCTTCCAACTTGCAGTGAGACATATGCCAATTAGGCTTTTGTGCTAATGCTCACCATTGTCTAAATTTAAACCTCTTCATCTCCTCTTTCTCTTTATACTTCAAGCCGACCATTGACTTGCGAACTTGGTCTCGTAGCTTTTCCTCTACGATGTCCCCAGGAACATCTTCGTCGGTGATCATGGCTCGAGACCCACGAAAGTCTTCCAGCACTTCAAGTCGATATACCCTCGTTCCAACGACGCAACAAACTTGGCCATCCAGTGCATCCTTTGCCTCGACAAAACGTCAAGACAAAGAACATCAAAGGAAAAAGGTCTAGACAATAAGCAATAATCATTATATTTTTACCATACATATGCCACAAGCAAAAATATTTCAGGCAAACAACTCTTTGTTCTTTTTGACTTCTTCCCGGTTATCACAGGAAACACTTAAGTCAGCGGATCAAATCAGGTTCAATTCGTGCCGATTGTCAGACTGTTGCACGTGTAAAAGGCTTTGCGTTGTGGAACTTGATTCGAGGGGGAAGGCTGTTTTGCCGTTTTGCCGTTTCTGAACGGTAGACCCGAACATTTCCACATCGAAGCGGGTGACACGATGACACCCTTTACAAACGAGATGAAACCGAGATGAAAGCGATAAATCGAGAAACATCACACATCATGACACCAGTCAAGTCTCTTCTTGTGCCTAGTAACTCAGCACTGGGAAGCATGTTTTAACAAAAATCACGATATCAGGTGCGATGGGCGTGGTAAGAGATCAAAGAAGAAAGCAACATGTACCCGGTACCCAAAACCGAATGATAGGCCGCTGTAACGACCACTGTAGCTAGGCAGCTGTAGCTGGTTACCGTCACGTGTCATGGCCTCAATTACCTCCTCATTCCCAAGGAAGCTTCTAGTTAAAGAGCCAAGTGGCTCTCATGGCCTCAATCACATCATCGAAGTATGCAAAAGCTTGTCCCGTTGGCCGCCGGTGTCGTCCTCGCAACATCTGTACTGCGCTGGTGGGCGTTGCCGCCAAACGGAATCCATTGAAGAAGCCGAGCACGTCGTGCACCGTGGCATCAAAGGGCAGACCACGCAAACGCAGCCGAGGCAATGCGAGAGACGAAAAACATCGAAGACAAGCACAACAATGAGGAGAGGAGAAGCCGCGAAGCATTCGAAACATTTTGAGCCACGAAGCTGAAGTTTCTAGAACCCCTCACATGTCACTTCAGTGGCGTTCACGGGGTTCCATGCAACTCGCACACTATGACCACATGACTGGATCGCAAGAAAGCACGGTCTTTCACCGGGGGGGTTGCTTTGCTGTGAGACCAAGGAGCAAACTTTTGGAGTATTATATATATCGTTTTTGGCAAGGTAGGCCATGGTAGGCCTATGTGTCAGCTAATCACCAATTGGAAATCAAGTGACCTCGAGGATATAAGCCTCTCAAACATGCAAGTACTTGTAATGTACTTTACCGTTTTGTAAAGCTTCTTCTTAACAAGCCCTGGTCTCAAGTCAACGCGAAAGCTACAGGGAAGCGCTCACGTCTGCGCATCATGTGGATACCGGCACTGGAAGAAAAGCAAGAGGTCGCAAGGTCATTTGTCAAGGGATTGGAACAGTTATCTCAGTATCTTAAACAAATGCATGAGGTTTTCAGTCAGCCTAGTGCTTCTAGGGTCTCTTTGCCTGATTGTTTGCAGTCCACCCTCTGTCACACTTGCACCAAATCGGCAGCATTGGACGATGACCAAAATGTGGCTAAGGCAATGCTATCTGATTAGGAAGAGTCGAGTATTCCAAACCTAGCACTTAATGAACAGCGCTGAAGTGGCAGATCTGCAACATTATCCTCCAAGATATTTTGAACCACAAAACATTGTGGACACAGAAAACCCAAAAATGCTGATTTCTCTTGAAGAGTGTGACACTTCAAAAACGAACAGAACACTGCAGGGGTGATTCGGTGATTCTGAATCATGTGTGAGTCAATTCGGCCGCTCAAACAGTCAAAGAGTGAATCTGGTTGTGCATACACAAACAACCTCATAGCAAATCTCTCGTTGGCATTCGACATATTATGATGGCAAATCAACTTGTAGTGACACATGTTGCCAAGTTCGATCAAGTGGCTCCTATGCGGCTTGTCGGCTTGTTCAGCGCCCTTTCTTGCACCAGGCCGTTTACGTGCGGTTCAGCTTGAGATTCAGTCGTCTGTCTTCATCAAATTCCTCGGCTGGGGCAGTATAACCGTGGGATTCAATAGATATGTGGAGAAGGTGATGGCAGTGTAGGCAGTGTATGAACCGGGGGAACAAAGAATCACTGTATAAACTCTAGGAGTGCAGTCTTTGCTTCCACTACTTAGCTGTTAGCTCCCGTGGTGGAAACTGGATCATCTCAATTCATTTCCGAGCCTCTTAGTCTTCCCTTCAGCCATCCTGCTGCGATAGGCATCCAATCGCGTTTCGTAGTCGGGATCATTTGGCAATAGAAAAACTTTGGAGCCAGCCTCCTGCGGTTTGCAATCACGACCGCTTCACTGAGTCAAATGATGTGACATGTCAAGCAGCAAATTGTTCCATTTCAACTTCACAGATTTGTTTTCTGCTTGACTTGCTGTACTCAACAAAAGCTATAATATACAATTTCCATAAACGGGAAACCTGCTATCTGTGTTGGTTGCATTGCTTGTTTACTGATATCATTCCCAACCACAACTTCCTTCCAAAAAGGAATATGAATTAGAAGGGAACTGAAAGGAGCGCGTTCTCAAACTTGACTTCGACATCGCCGGGCGAAGGAACTGGGAGCACCCTTGTCCTTATTGACGCTCGTGAAGAGGCTACCTTGGTCCGGTCGTTCTCAAAACTGAAAAGAGTCCGAACCGGCAAAGCTCAGCTGTAAGATGCGCCCAACCTTCCTAGTCACCCGAACAACGCTTCAGGCGCACTGCCGAAAAGCAATCAAGAATCACTTCATCCCTATCTAGCTCGTTTTTGAGACCCATCTGGGGTTTCCACGCCGTAATTCAGTGGACTTCAATTTCGGAGGTTCAACACCTCTGCTAAAAACTCTGGAACGAGTGTAAACTGACTCGAAAGTGAGAAAAAACAAACAAATAAGCATGATTTGAACAATTGCGAGGCCACTGAGATCAGCGATGAGCACATCGCTGGCTGCCACAGCCTCGTCCACTTGCCGGTCACGGGCTGCAGCGGTGAGCGCCTTTGCTGATGCCTCGATCTTCTGCGAAGCTGGGCCTCACATTTTTAGAAACGAACTTGATAGACACGAGATCCCCAAACCAAGACTGAAGGAGTTCGAACCCAAAAAGCAATCTGGCGAGGCCACCGCGAGGCTTTTCCGGGAACACTTTGACTGAAAAACTCAAGGCGACGGAAGTCCGGTCCAAGGACGCTACGAATGGAACAAAGGGCATCGCTACGAGCGGAGCAAGGACTGGGGGCTCCTGGCCTTACAGTAACAATACTATTTTTTCTATATATTTTTCTTTTAACCTGCTCCCCTGACGGAAGTCCGGTCTTTCTTTTAGATGGGTGACGAAAGTCCACCTCTCCATCTTCTTCACCTGCCAGCACGAGCTGTCGCAAGGGAGCAAACAAATCCCGCTCCAGTGCGGTGTTGGAGCCATTGGAGGTATCCAAAGCGTTGATCGCCAGCTGAAAAAGCCGCGGACCCCCACGCACATAGGGTCTCAGCCGGTCGCGATTCGAGCATCGAGTGTCGAGGGGTAGCTAGAGTTTCTGACAGCCACGGGCCTTATATGCCTGACTCAATATGCCTGACAGCAAATATGCCACCATTCTTTTGCACGTTAAAGTATAGTGACTAGTGGACAGCTGAGAAGGCAGCTCCAGGATATGCCTCCGTGGTTACGATTGCGTAGTGATTGTAGAAAGCAAGGACATTTGATTCGAGATGTGCGGTGACAGATCGAGAACCGGAAGTGACAGCTTGTTCCGTGGCGTTTGGGTGGGAAAGGGCCTGAAAGGGCCAAAGAAGTCATGACAAGTGGCTTGATGTCAAAGTACAAAAAGTCCATTGCACCTTGAATCTTCTCTGCATATCTCTTGGTGACGCGTTCTAAGGGGGGGGACAGCTCTGCTCGCGCTGCCATCGGAGACATCACTGCGATGGCAGCGAGGTGAAAGCGCCGCGAGGTGAAAGCGGAAGTTTCTCCAAGGCGAAGCGGAAGCGACGCCAGCGACGCTGCCAGCAAAAGCGACGCACGGATGAAGCGACGCCATGGCTTGGAGGGTGACGTCATGACACAAACGAACGAGTCAAACACATGTTGCCACTGAAAGAGAGCTCCTCACGACAACCGACTCTCCAATCCTTAAACGCTCAATATTGTGCTACTCCATATGTTTCCATTGGACTAATATGCAAACTTGAGCCATTGTCTCCTGTCAATTACAATCAACGTGAATCATCAACTTCATGCGCTCCCCATTGGGCAGCAATTGCAACTCTCTTACGCTCTACGTTGACTGCCCTCCAAGTCGATCCTGGTCGAAGGTCCTTCAATCCTGGATGGACACATGCACGATCTCTCTCTCTCTCTCTCGAGCACGGCCTTGCACGATGTCTCGGTCGACATGGCGGAGTGTGGAGTGACAAATCGCTTGGCATGTGACGTCTTCACATCTTTGGCTCTTTGAAATCGGGAATGACCTCGGCCTTGAAAGGCGTGTGAGAAGTGGACAGTCTGCGCTTGAGAGATGTCTAGAGTGAATAGACACTTTGTCAACGAGTCGAGACCCAAGCATTTTGCACCTGTTGAGGATTCTGGAGACTTTCACGTCAAGAAGACTGCTGTGCGCCGCAGTGTGCGCAAGCGAAGCTGCCAGATTGAAACTCGATCGCGTAGAAATCCGGAATCCTGCTGGCTAAGCCCCAGGCTGATCCAGGCATTCATTCGAACGCACCTCAACAGCGGGAGGGAGAATTGGCATTCGCATTCCCGTGTCCATGCGTGTATGAGGCCATGCTTCTTGGAACCCCTTGGCTGAAGGGTAACCATGAGTGTCTATATCCCTTTCACTTGGAAGGATTGGGGAAGAGCAGGATGAATGACGTGGAAGGCCGCGCATCATCTACACCCATAGCTATTGGTGTGCATGGATGATTCCCAACAACATTTGGAAAAAAACACCAGCATAGACCCAGATAGCTAGGCAGCACCTCCACAGCGCGCGCAACCAGCTGACACCAGCACCGGTGCGATTTGTTTGCCAGCTGACAACACCGGCAACGGCGCCAGCACCCGACCAGCGCGCGCTCAGCCAGCTCACAGAACCAGCATGCAGGACCACAACACCGGCACCAGCACAAGCACCCTTTCGAAAGCGCGCGCAGCCAGCTCATTCTTATTTGCAGCAAGAACCCCATAGCTATCCCTATTTGGAAAACAACAACGTATGGTCTTGCGCGTGCAAGTTTATGCGCACAAAAGTACGCGCTCAAACAGCAAAGCCTGTAAGTGTCATTGGCACAAGGCCAAGCAGTATCCAGCGCCACTATTGACGTTGTAGCATGCTTGAAGCAACGATCTGTAGAACGATAAGGCCGTATGATCTTGCGCGTATAAGTTTATGCGCACAAATGGCAAAGCCCGTAGGCTTCACTTGCCCAAGGCCAAGCAGTATCCAGCACAACTATTGTGTGTGTAGCATGCTGAAACAATGGTCGGTTGAGAGCCTGACGTTGCGCATAGAACATTATACATTATACGTACAAAAGTATGCATGCGCGCAAACAGTGCGGCCCTTGACACAGCTGTCGGCCAAAACAGAACCTGAAGAGTGTAAATACCCCACAGCGCTAATAGACAAAGAACGCTCAAGCGACAACACCGTATGATGTTGCGCGCATAATTTCATGCGGCCCATGGCTGCTGGCACTTCATTGTCAGAAGCGGCGGTTGTTATCACTCCACTGTCAGAAGCGGGCGCCAGCACCGAGCACCGGCGCGCCCACGCGCACTGCCAGCTGCACTCTGCCTCCACCACGCGCGCAGCCAGCTGACAGCGCCAGCACCAGCACCGGCGCCCGGCACCCAGCACCGGCACCCTGTCTCCACCACGCGCACAGCCACGGCACCCTGTCTCCACCGCGCACACAACTTCTTAAGTTCTTACTTCAAGTAGGTTCGACAGTGAGGTGCCTATGTGCGCTCTTTGGAGCCTGAGTGCTGGTGCCGCTGCGGCGTGCCGCTGCTAGATGTTTAATACCATGTACGCTTTGCAGCTTGGATGCTGGGTTTCACCACCTAAATTCGAAACATTATCTCGGTTAGAATTAAACCATCGAAACATTTTTCCCGAAAGCACTGCGAAGGGTTCTTCCGGAAAATCCTTTGAACACTGACACTTCGACACTTACACTTACACGCTGACACTTTCACCACACTTGCACGACAACATGAACGCTATACGTACCCCAGTGTAAGTGGAAGAGCGAAAGCAGCCAAGTGCAAGTGGAAGTATGCAAGTGTAAGTGTGCAAGTGTAAGTGTGCAAGTGATGAGTATGCAAGCATGCAATGAGTATGCAAGCATGCAATGAGTAGGCAAGTGCGAGTATGGAAAATATGCAAAAATTACCACGGGAGATGTCCTAATGAAAAAACATATCCCCACTTTATAAATTCTCTCTTTAAGGCGGAGAGTGGGACGAACAGCGTCAACCGAAAGTGCAACCCTCTGCGGAGATCGTGCGCGTCGAGTGCGCGAAATGCAGGCGAGAGTGCGATTGGTGCGGTGCGCGGGCAACCCTCTGCGGAGATCGTGCGTGTCGAGTGCGCGAAATGCAGGCGAGAGTGCGATTTGCCGGCTGCGCGCGCAACCCTCTGCGGAGATCGTGCGTGTCGAGTGCGCGAAATGCAGGCCAGAGCGCCGCTCGTCCGGTCCGCGCGCAACCCTCTGCGGAGATCGTGCGTGTCGAGTGCGCGAACTCCAGGCGAGAGCGCGATATGCGCGGTGCGCGCGCAACCCTCTGCGGAGATCGTGCGTGTCGAGTGCGCGAGATGCAGGCGAGAGTGCGATTTAATCTGTGCGCGCGCAAAGCTCTGCGGAGATTGTGCCTTTCTAGTACAACTTTAGTGCGCCGAGCAATCTGTGGAGCTGGAAGCTGAGAAAACTGGCGACTTCGTAGTACAACTTTAGTACGCGGAGTAGCTGGGGAGCTGGAAGATGAGAACTGGCGACTTGGTAGTACAACGTTAGTGCGCGGAGTAGCCGGGGAGTGGGAGGATGAGGAGTGTCGACTTTGTAGTACAACTTTAGTGCGCGGAGTATCTGGCGAGGTGGAAGATGAGAACTGGTGACTTTGTAGTACAACTTTAGTACGCGGACTAGTGGGGGAGCTGGAAGATGAGAACTGGCGACGTTGTAGTACAATTGTAGTACGCGGAGTAGCTGGGGAGCTGGGAGCTGTGAACTGGCGACTTTGTAGTGCAACTGGAGTGCGCGGAGCAATCTGTGGAGCAGGAAGCTGAGAACTGGCGACTTTGTAGTACAACTGTAGTACGCGGAGTATCTGGAGAGCTGGAAGATGAGAACTGGCGACTTTCTAGTACAACTTTAGTACGCGGAGCAATCTGCGGAGCTGGAAGCTGAGAACTGGCGACTTCGTAGTGCAACTTTAGTACGGCGGAGTAGCTGGCGAGGTGGAAGATGAGAACTGGCGACGTGGTAGTACAACTTTAGTACGCGGAGCAATCTGTGAAGCTGGAAGCTGAGAACTGGCGACTTTGTAGTGCAACTTTAGTACGCGGA